CTGGTGCCGGTGAGCGTCGACCCGTACAGCCTGTTCGGCTTGGCTCGTCACCGCGACCCCTACTTCGTTCCGTCCCGGCAGAATTTCTTCGAATTCCACGTGCTCCAACCCGGGGTTGCGTTCGCGACTTCTCCCGGCTATGGAGCGCATTGTTTCTGGGGATCGGGCGAAGCCCTCTTTCCTCCCTTGCTTCGTCAGGCCGACGTATTATAGCTTTGTTCACCTGTCCTCCTCCAGGAGAAGCTCCGAAAAGCGCGAAGTACGATGCATATGAATGAAAATTCCCCCGCTAACTTCACGGACTTCGGCTCGCCTAAGATGAGCGACCCCGTGGACGTCGTTCAATTCATGATTGGGGCGCCAGGAAGTACTGGGGGTTGGCCTGGTTCTTGGACGCGAGGCAATCCGCCGGAGACATTGCACCCAAGCCCCGCGACGTCCTAACCCTAAGGCACCAAACCCTAGTAACGGAAGCAGAAGGATTGAGTGGCATCCATTGACACCTGGACAACGGCAAAATCAACCACCTCTACTAGGAGCGCACCGTCAAAACACTCACCGTGCAGGGGGGCGGAAGGAGAAAGGTCGTCGTTCGGGGCCGCGGGGTCTGCAGCGAAGCCGGGGCTCGTGGGCCAAGCGTCTCTCGTGCCGTCCCGGATACCGGGCGTCTCGACTGAGAACGACCGGGGGAAGGCCGGGAGCGGCGAGGAACTCCTGCCGCCATCAGGATGACCGGATCGACGCTCGTGCGCCCCCACCCACACGACGACGACGCCGTCGCGGACGTCTCCGGGCTCGGCAACCTCGGGTTCTTCGCCGAACGGGAACCGCTGGTACGGCCGTCGGACTGCGACATATCTCCCCCGGGAAGCGACGAAATCGTTCCAGAGCACACCAGCGATGGAGGCAGTTGTGGCTTACCATCCGACTTGTCTCCCCCCACGCCATCCCGCACAACCGGTTGTGCTCTGTACGAGAATGTTTTCGAATCCGTTTGCTGTTGCAGAGTATTTTATTTTTCTCGTGCAGTTTTCGCCAACAAGACACTGCCTCGTCGACATGAATATGTTTCGTATCGACCTCGGGGGTGACTAGATGAGAACCGACGCAAGTCGCTGTGGGAGACCGACGCACCCTTGCCTGTGAACTTTGAACCAGAAACTAGCTGTCTTTCGACAGGGGTCGCAACGACTGTGGTGTCATGATTGGGTCTCCAATTCATAGTTCTATATAATAGGGGCAGCGGGCGGCGTAGTTTTGTATGATGATTGAGCATAGCGATTCGGCAGTTTGTCCATATGATCGCTGTGGTCATGCGTCCCATCGTGTCCCCCGGACGAAACTGGTCTCAGGTTCTGCTGCCGGTCGCAAACTACCCAAGACCGCGCTTGTGCTTCCACGCATCGTTGGCGAGTCCGAGACCGACGGCGGCGACACCTCTCGAGCCCGGAGAACCGTGCCAAGGGCAGTGTCCTCACCGATGGAAGAAAACGAACTGCACAATGCATTCCTCGCCAGGAAATAACTTATTCTCGAATCCTGTGGCCTCTGTACATTTGGCAGTCTCTCCTCGAGCAAGCGTTTGGTTTTTCCCATTCTGGTGGAGAAAAGGAAGTACCTGATATGTATGTAGCGAGAAAGGGTGCAGCAATTCCCGTGTTCCGCAACGCTGTTTTTCGGGTCAGCACCAAAATCGCTGACGTTTCTTCTATTGTATTGCCCGACCCCGCGCATCGCAGACTCACGGGCATGACGGTATAGAGTTCGTACAGGAAGCTCTTGGCGAACCTCCCTCCGTCGACGTGTTCTCGCGCGACGTCGCGGAGAGATACTTCGATTTCGACAACTTCGCTGGCGGTGACCACGTCCGTCCGCAGCGAGAACTCTTGCAGCGCAGACTGCAGGGGCAGTGGTGACAGTGACGGCAGCGACGACGACGACGACGACCGGATGGCTACTGGCGGCACGGAGACGGAGGACACACATTGGTGTGGTGCTCTTGCTGTTTGCCTTGTGCAGTCCGTTCGGTCCATTCGACTAGCCAGACGTTCCACGGTGGCCGTAGAATGAAGCACATTGTGTTCGCTGCTGGTGGATACCGGTGCCTGATGCTTTTTAAAGCGCCTCCTGCTCCGCGAAACAGCAACCCGTCGAGCAGTGGCGCGGTTAACAGCGCCGACGTTTCTCAGTGCCACTGGCACTATCATATAAAACATAATTAAGATGATTATTTTATAATCCGGCATCGCGGAAATGTTAGAGTTGTTTTCGCTCAACTGCAGTTCTCAATCGACACGACTGCTGTGCGGGACGAAATTGGTGGAAACATCAAGTTGGATACAAGGGCGACTCAACTCTATTTCAAATCCTTTGAGCCAATCGATGATACCGTCCCGCCTGTACGTTTGCACGAAGGAAAGTACGCGTCGATCGCCAAGTGCAACCAACCGCTAGCGATGGGTTGTGTCTCGCGCTACTGCATAGTGGAGGGCGTCTTCCGAAGCCGGCGAAGAAACGGCTGGCGTGATTCTTCGATTCGCTAGCATCTATTCTCGACACACCCAGCCGTCACGGCGGCGTTGCTTCTCGATAATTTGGGAAGGGGGATGGGGCCGTGCTTTCAAAGCTTAAGCGTATTGTTTTATGTGAGTATTGTTCTTGTTCGGGGAGCCGGTCAACTTGCTCGCCTGCGGGTCGCAGTTTGGCAGATGCGGAGTACGTCGACGTTTTTCGTCGTGCGCTCTCGCCCGTATACGTACACTCTGTTGGCCTTCCTTATAGCGTGTTTTGTTCCATCCACGGGCCACCGTTGCGGTTGCTCGCACCTTGTGATTGTGGAATGAATCATTGTTCAGAACTTGAAATGGTATTTTTTCGCGCCTGCGTGTCTGTATTTAGAACGCAACAATGGTTGCGTTTGGTTGCGTTTGACCTGACGACGGCATGCACTTACCGTGTGGCGTTCACAAGCAAAAGGTTTTATTGCAGTTGTTCAAAACGCGCCAGCCCAGTGGCGGACAAAAAACTTTTCTGGCCGCAAGCGTTTTTCCTTACGGGGCAGAACAACGTTTTATTATCAGGGGGAAATCTGGCCACATGGTGCGTCCACGATTACCCTAGCCCGGCGAGGTTGTGTGCTATCTCACCTTGCCAACCTCGTTAGGTTGTGCCGCCCGGGTTACGCAACCTGGGACGTTGTATAAGCGGAAAATAATCCGTGTATTTGTTTTCGAGGTTGTACAATCGGTGCACAGACTATAACCCTACCCGGTGGCCACCTGTGATAAGTATGACGAAAAATGTGTTGCTTCTCTCTGTGTTGTACGTACAGTAGTGAGAAGATAACTCCTCATGTTCCTCTCTGTGTACATAAAGGCAGTGACATTGACAACAGTTACGACAGCAGTGACGACTGCTACAGATGGAGCGGGGGAACACGTCTCGAGGTTGGAACCTCGTGTGTGTGCCACTGCTGTTGTACATGTAAAATACATGACATGAACTCCGTGCGTTTATTCCGTCATTTATGTCACGTAACGCACACAGCAGCAGTGACGAGCGCCCTTCAGCTGTAGTAGCAAGAAGGGAACGTACCGCGGGAATCCTTCAACATCTGCTGTACTGCTGCTGTAGCCTACGGCAGCAACTACAATACATAGTCTATTTAAAGTGTGAGCAAGCTACAGTTAGACTATATCATGCACGCGACGTACATGTAACATCCACAACAACCAGGTTTGCAGCTGACGGAGCACCATGGAGTATGTACCATGGAGCACCATGAAGCACCATGGGCTGCAGACCATGGAGCTCCATGGTGCTCCATGGGAATATCCACGTCGCGACGTCGTGACCCAATATTAATATTGTCACACACCCCATACGACATACGTATGTACCTATGGAGTACAAGTATAGATAGCTTGCGGTTGTACATAAAGCACTGAACGATTTAGCACTTTCACAAGGCACACGTCGTAGCGACAAAGCTTGAGAGCGCAACGCTGGACGATCATGTGCAGGCTGCTCATGATCCCCTGTCGGCTACATCATTACTGCAGTACACTTTGATACAGTCCCGTCGACCAGGAGGAAGGTTCAACGAACGTTGAAGGGTTGATGCCCTTGCCCGACATCGGAGGAATTGGATCCAACCGAACTTTCTTAGAACATGATGAGATTTTTCCTGGCCATCCCAAGCCATCCGCTTCGACAATGGGGGATTGTCGTATACAAAGGAAGAGCGGGTAGCAGCAATACATGTCCAATCAATGGGCCACGTCAACCATCAGGTAAATAAAACTGTCGGATAGATCAAAGGAATAGCTGAGATACGTGTAAGTCGAAAGCGGGGCAATGTCGTGATCGTGCCGGTTCGTGCCGGTTGAATGACCGGTTCGGCCGATTCGGTTAATGAACCGATGAACCGATGAACCGATGGAAGTGTAACCGACCGCATCTTGTTCACTACACTCACTCACCACTCTACCATTGCTACTGCTGCTGCTGACCATAGCCAGGCGACGATCTCGTAGGCTGTGCCTCTGGAGCCCAACGCATCGACGGGGGTAGCATCGTGCTTACCGTTCAACCAGGTGTGTGTGTGTAAGTGGTCGGGGATGTTGGTAGACCAAGGGCCGGGATGGTGACGACGTGCGGCGTGCTCGAAATCCACAGCGTTGCCAAAAAACTGCAAGCGGCCATGCTGCACCGAGGTTTAATACCCACAGGTAGTTGTGCTCTGGTCCTTCTTCCCTCAGTCCGATGGGACTTGAGTCCACCGCTTGTTGTGGTGCCACAGCCCATGACTACTACACGTGGACTCCTGTTCCGATAGGTTCAATACTGGTCCAATATCAGCAAATCCTGCCGTTATCATCAACGGCGGTGCGATGCGATCAATTATTAGGTCCGCCCGGCGCTTAATACGACTCTGTTCAGTACGTCCAAGTCGGCTGCGTCTGCCGTGAGAGGTTGTACTTAGAATCTCAGTGTCCAGAGCAAACGACCCATCCATCCAGTTGGGGTGACATCTCTCACCATGATTGATTGTCATGATCGGCTACCCGAAGTTTTGCTACAGCCGCTCATACTACCTCTCGATGGAGACCAAAACACACAACAACGGGTCGACACAGAGATAGATTTAGATTTAAGGAATAATATAAACACACACAGAAAGACTACCCATTCGAGATATACCCACAGTCGAACGGATTTAGTCAATGACCTGATGTCACAACGCGTTGGTGCACCTTCGCCCAATCAGCCTTCAAGTGAGCCGAGACAAACAGTTGATTGAGTTAGTTGTTGGAAAATTCAGTGCGGGCACGATTGGGGGTACTTACATGATTGGTTTTTAGAACGTACTGCTGTAGACTCACAGTGGTGTTGGACTGTAAAAAGGTAGAGCGGGTATGAGCAATACACGTCCAATCATTATCCATGTGGGCCACGTCAACACCATGACTGTAAAAAGGTAGATAGAGCGGGTATGCAGCAATACACGTCCAATCATTATCCATGTGGGCCACGTCAACACCATCAGGGGAATAAAATTGTCGGATAGATGCGTGTGTTGTAGTCGAAAGCGGGGCAATGTCGTGATCATGGACGGTTGTGCCGGTTGAATGAACCGATTCGGCTATTTGCTCTTCAACCAATTCTAGTTGAACCGACCGGTCCTCTTGGTGACTGTTGACTGGACGTTATCTTGGTCACTGCTGCTGCTGTTGACCGCTTCAAAAACCACCATAGCCAGGCGACGATCCGTAGACTGTGTCTCTGGAGCCCAACACAACGGAGGTGGCATCGTGCTTGTTCCGTGCGACCACATCTGTGTAATGGTCAGGGTGG